GGGGGTACGTCCGGATTTTTCTGTTTAAATGTATTTGTATTGCAGAGTAATATATCTATCGACTGTTTCTGGCTTAGGAAAAAATTATCACTGCATCCTGGTTGCCAGACTGCACTGGCAATTGTCAACGCCTTACTTGAATGTTCCTAGTGGTTTCATGTTGATCTGGGCATGCTGCCTGGATTTTTCAGACTGCACTAGCAATGGTCAACGCCTTACTTAAATGTTCCCAGTGGTTTCACGTGGATCTAGGCATGCCGTCCAACCTTTGCCAGACTGCACTACCAATGGCAAACGCCTTACTTGAATGCTTCCTGTGGTTTCATGTTGATCTGGGCATGCTGCCCAACCTTTGCCAGGCTGCACTACCAATGGCCAACGCCTTACTTAAATGTTCTCAGTGGTTTCACGTGGATCTGGGCATGCTGCCCAAATTTTGTCAGACTGCACTACCAATGGTCAACGCCTTACTTGAATGTTTCAAGTGGTTTCACGTGGATCTGGGCATGCTGCCCAAATTTTGTCGGATTGCACTACCAATGGCCAGGGCCCGGCATGGCCAGGTGGTTAAGGTACTCGACTCGCAATCTGAGGGTCGCGGGTTCGAATCCCCGTCACACCAAACATGCTCGCCCTTTCAGCCGTGGGGGCATTATGATGTGACGGTCAATCCCACTATTCGTTGGTAAAAGATAGCCCAAGAGTTGGCGGTAGGTGGTGATGACTATCTGCCTTCCCTCTAGTCTTACACTGCTAAATTAGGAACGGCTAGCGCAGATAGCCCTCGTGTAGCTTTGCGCGAAATTCAAAAACAAACAAACCAATGGTCAACGCCTTACTTGAATGTTCCCAGTGGTTTCACGTGGATCTGAGCAAGAATATTTATTTATCATCTACAATCTCATGAACAGTAAGAAAAATACAAAACGTATAAGGATACTTTCTAAAATACAGAGTTTGATTCCCTGCGGTAGACAGGGTGCAGATATGCCACTGTATCTCTGAGCTAAAACAAACTCCAAACGTCAGAATAAATATCCTTTATAGAAAATGTTTAATCTATGCCAGTCTATGTTGTTGCTGTATTTTATACCTATTTCTATCGATGATGAAGGTTTTAGTCTTACTTCAATTTTGCGTGAGTGCACGATCTTCGTAAGTTGAAACCGAAGTTTCCCTCTTAGTTTTTTATCAACTATACAAAACAACAAAAGTAGATCACGTAGATCAAAATATACTTAGTTTCAGAAAGTACGAGTCTGTGGTGTAACAAGATCCTCTTAACATGTAATAAAGGACAAAATTCTACATTAAAGCAAACTAAGACTATTACTTAAACGAGAAAGAAGAAGTTTCAATGATCTTAAGTTTAGCAATGTTCAGCATTAGTAAGTGACCTAACATCGATTCTATATAGGGCGACTCACGTCAATGTATAAACCTTTTTGTACGAGTTCTGAAACATGTTCCAGTGGATTTTTGAGGACAGTTTTATTTTATGATAATGACACACTTAAGCCAGTTTTAGGTGGAAGATCGACTATCATTTTAATTTTTATAAACGTAACCGTAATATTTTCCTATCTCTATTACATCAATTTTGTGATTCTCAAATTTACTAGGTCATGTTATTTTAAACTTTAATGTGTCTGATTTGCCTTATTTTATAGACACAGCTTGATCTCTAAAATTATACACACAGCCTGAGGTCTAGAATCACACATGCAACTCGAGCTCTAGAATCACATACAAAGCTCAAGCTCGAGAATCATACACATAGCTCGAGCTCTAGAATCACACATAAAGCTTGAGCTCAAGGATCATACACACAGCTTGAGCTCTGGAATCACATACAGACTTCAAGTTCGGGAATCATAAACACAGGTCGAGCTCTAGAATCACATACAGAGCTCAAGCTCGAGAATCATACACACATAGCTCGAGCTCTAGAATCACATGCAGAGCTCAAGCTCGAGAATCATACACACATAGCTCGAGCTCTAGAATCACACATAGAGCTTGAGCTCAAGGATCATACACATAGCTCGAACTCTAGAATCACACATAGAGCTTGAGCTCAAGGATCATACACACAGCTCGAGCTCTGGAATCACATGCAGAGCTCAAGCTCGAGAATCATACACATGGCTCGAGAATGACACAAACAGCTCGAGCTCTATAATTTATTGACTAATGTAATCACATAGCTCAGGTTTGTAGAAGCTACAAATTTCAAATGTTAGTATTAAACATAACGCAATAGAATGTGTTCACGGTGATATTTTACCTTTCAACCTAATTTCATCAGTACATAATAGACGAAATAATTACTGTAGCTATCAACAACAACGATTAGAAACTGAAGCGTCGCATGAAACATGAATACTGGTATGATTTTATTTTTTACTGCCAATGCTCTCCCTACATCCTAAGTAGCTGTTGACCTGAGTTTTATTCTTTTTTATTTCAAGAGCAGTGGTGAAGATCCTTTATTTCACTAGGTTTAACGAAGATCAAGTTTTGTTGCAACTAAAACAACTCGTGTAGCCGCGTCGTTATAGGGTTCGTACAATAAATGCTACTCTCGCTCTCGCTGAATCACGAAATATATGAATACCGACTGAGATGAAGAGCTGGTGATATGCAGAAGCTTTGCGGATTTCGCAGGTCATTCATATTGTACTGATTCTTTGTGTATCGACAAAAAATACACATACTGTTTCTATGTTTTGTTTGTATGTTTTGAATTTCGCGCAAAGCTACACGAGGGCTATCTGCGCTAGCCGTCCCTAATTTAGCAGTGTAAGACTAGAGGGAAGGCAGCTAGTCATCACCACCCACCGCCAACTCTTGGGCTACTCTTTTACCAACGAATAGTGGGATTGACCGTCACATTATAACGCCCCCACGGCTGAAAGGGCGACCAGATTGCGAGTCAAGCACCCTAACCACCTGGCCATGCCGGGCCCATACTGTTACTATGAAAAATTTATTTTTAAATAAATCTATTGTGTAAAGTTAACGATATTTTTATGATATGTGTGTTGGTAACTTCAAATAGCTAAAATGTATGCAGAATAAAGTACCAGCTGAAAACATCCAACGACAAAACGCTATGCTAATATCTTCGTTTAAAATCAATACACAAATTTCATAAATAATGACAAAATTATAATTATAAAAACAAAAAGGTATCAATTCAAACACCATAAGGGCAATTTTAATATATTTTAACAATCTGTGGGTGTAGGTATAATGATGCTATTCTATAGCTTAGAAGTTTAGTAAAGTGTGGGTATAATGATGGTATTCTATAGTTTAGAAGTTTAGTAAAGTGTGGGTATAATGATGCTATTCTATAGCTTAGAAGTTTTGTAAAGTGTGGGTATAATGATGCTATTCTATAGTTTAGAAGTTTAGTAAAGTGTGGGTATAATGACGCTATTCTATAGCTTAGAAGTTTAGTAAAGTGTGGGTATAATGATGCTATTCTATAGCTTAGAAGTTTAGTAAAGTGTGGTATAATGATGATATTCTATAGCTTAGAAGTTTAGTAAAGTGGGGTATAATGATGCTATTCTATAGCTTAGAAGTTTAGTAAAGTGTGGTATAATGATGATATTCTATAGTTTAGAAGTTTAGTAAAGTGGGGTATAATGATGCTATTCTATAGCTTAGAAGTTTAGTAAAGTGTGGTATAATGATGATATTCTATAGCTTAGAAGTTTAGTAAAATGTGGGTATAATGATGCTATTCTATAGCTTAGAAGTTTAGTAAAGTGTGGGTATAATGATGGTATTCTATAGTTTAGAAGTTTAGTAAAGTGTGGGTATAATTATGGTATTCTAGAACACAGAGGCTAAGGATTTATGAGTAAAATCAAATACGAATATGTAATAAAATATGGCAACAACACTACATCTGCTGTATCCAGTGCCGACGAGGCCTTTTACCCAATACCTGAGCTCATCAAGCCGCCTTAGACACAAAAGAAGTAATTGTGTAGATGCGATATTTACACCATCAATTCCATGAGCTTTTATAGAGTGAATAATATTAAGTTCGTGAATTGTAATCATTATCAATATATTTAAGTCATTAACAAATAAGAATTAAGATGAGAATAAATAACACAAGTATTATTTATTTAGTCATGTTTAATACCGATTACTTGTTTCTAATTAACATTACTATCATTCAGAAGAATTTACGAACCATTAAGCAGGTTTTCTTGATCCCGGAGCGGGTCCAGTAACCACAGCGTCAACGAGACAAAAACTGCGTTAGTAATTCTAAGAATAATAATACAAGGCGTATGTATAATGCTATTCTAACGCTATGAGGCTTAGTAAGGTGTACCTACATATGATACACGAAGAGGTTTAGTAAGGTGTACCTATATGTGATACAATAAGAGGCTTAGTAAGGTGTACCTATATATGATACACGAAGAGGCTTAGTAGGGTCTACCTATATGTGATTTTTTTTCTAATCTGTTGCATACTTATGTAACAGAAGTATCTATACATCAAATGACTTGAAATGAATTTCTTTGTCACAGATAATATTCAAAGCTTCACTAACTTGGAGTGATAGATGTTATGATAATACGTGAGTCTACTCAAGCACGTTAAATTTTATATACATATATAATGTAAATTACGCATGATATTACCAATACTTCATTTTTGTAATATATATATATATATATAATAAAATAATAACTATATCAACAGTAAGGTATAAAATATATTGTAATCAATCAGAGTTTCATCTCTGAAATATTCAAACGTATGAATGCTAATTAGATGAATAGTTATATAAAAACTTTCCATCAAAATTCGTGGCATCGTTCTCAAAATTGCGAAACCGAAGCAACATCTTACAACGTGACGTCGTTTTTTTTATATTTTACTCGTACTAACACCATTCTCCCTCTGTAGGAAGTAGACTCTTCCGTGATGTCTTGTTAACGGTAGCCTTCATTTTCTCTCTACAGACGAATCGAGAGAGTCACTCGCAGCCTTTGTCCGAACTAACGACGAAGAATAACCATCAGAGGCCAGGTGAGTCCTTTGTTTTTCGTTTTTACACATTGGACAATAGGCTATTTTCTTACTCAATCTGCCTGTAAATTATTAAGCAAAATTATGGCGAAATTATCTTCATTATTTTGTGCGTGAGTAGTTTGGTGCGAGAGTGACGTACCGAACAAATCGCACTGACTATTGGGAAATCTCATTGTTTAGAAGTGTTTTTATGTTAGAAGAAAAATATATTTTGGATCACATGATGTTGTATGAATTATTCAAAATATATATTAGGGATTTTGATCTCTACATGTAATAGATGTAGTGTCTTAATAACAGGTAGACAAACAACGATTTATAAGCATAAGGATGAATTTTATTGATGTTGGAACATACTACGTGTTTCTGAAGAAAACGGAACATTGGTCTGTCGAAACATTTGGTATGTTCCGCCATCAATAAAACTCTTCCTTATAGTTATAAATCGTTGTTTATCTACCTATTATTATGTTAGCATAATGTGTTTCCTTACTCAAGTAATTACTAAATCATATAAATACATTTTCACAAATTATTATTGGGCAGTGTAGCTAAAGGGACTGATTAGAAGATGAACGTTTGTACTCATTAGTGGATGTGCTAGTGGATGTTGGCTTCAATATACTTGTAAACCTGTTATACATACAAACGTACATAGATACATATCGACGCAATTTCCTGTGTTCAATCCCGACGTCATGCATCTCAATAAATAACCGTCATGACAACCCCACTATTGAATACGTTTGTACCCACCTGTCACGAGTTCTTAAAAAGCAGAACAGAAAAGGTTTACAAATACTAACACAAAATGTCATGCTTCAAATATTCAGTTTCGTGTGTATGCAATAGCACTAAGCCTTTGGTCAAACACCTCTCGTTACAACTTAGAAATTTACGGGTATTATATCAGATAGAACATGACTCAAAAGATAAGACTCTTCAGACAGAACATGACTCAAAAGATAAGACTGTTCAGACAGAACATAACTCAAAAGATAAGACTGTTCAGACAGAACATGACTCAAAAGATAAGACTGTTCAGACAGAACATGACTCAAAAAATAAGACTGTTCAGATAGAATATGACTCAAAAGATAAGACTGTTCAGACAGAATATGACTCAAAAGATAAGGCTGTTCAGATAGAACATGACTCAAAAGATAAGACTGTTCAGACAGAACATGGCTCAAAAGATAAGACTGTTCAGATAGAACATAACTCAAAAGATAAGACTGTTCAGACAGAACATGACTCAAAAGATAAGGCTGTTCAGACAGAACATGACTCAAAAGATAAGACTGTTCAGACAGAACATGACTCAAAAGATAAGACTGTTCAGACAGAACATAACTCAAAAGATAAGACTGTTCAGACAGAACATGACTCAAAAGATAAGACTGTTCAGATAGAACATGACTCAAAAGATAAAACTGTTCAGATAGAACATGACTCAAAAGATAAAACTGTTCAGATAGAACATGACTCAAAAGATAAAACTGTTCAGATAGAACATGACTCAAAAGATAAGACTGTTACTCAAATGCAGCTCCATAAAAATAAATCATTTTCTTGTATCAGTTAGAACAGGATCAGCATACCGTCATATGTAATCAAAATACACAGATAGCCAGACTTCCATTCATGTATGTCAGTTGTAAACACAACTTAATAGCCAGACTTCCGTCCACTTATAAAGTTTTTTAACAGAAACTTAAAACTTTATTGTCGGACATACAAAGTATAATATTTATAATTACAACGATTCACCAACAGACACCAGGTTAACCTGGCATCATCAGGAACTACCCGACATCAAACAAGTTTAGGTTTTACATAACAGGGTACTTCCTTTAATTATTTAGTTGTAAACACACCTTAACAACCAGACTTCCAATCATGTATGTCAGTTGTAAACACACCTTAACAGCCAGACTTCCATCCATGTATATCAGTTGTAAACACACTCTAAGAGCAAGACTTCCAGCCATGTACATCAGTTGTAAACACACCTTAACAACTAGACTTCCAATCATGTATGTCAGTTGTAAACACACCTTAACACCAAGACTTCCATCCATGTATATCAGTTGTAAACACACCAATACTTTCATCCATGTATATCAGTTGTAAACACACACCTTAACAACCAGATTTCCAACCATGTATATCAGTTGTAAACACACCTTAACAACCAGACTTCCAACCATGTATATCAGTTGTAAACACACCTTAACACCAATACTTCCATCCATGTATATCAGTTGTAAACACACACCTTAACAACCAGACTTCCAATCATGTATGTCAGTTGTAAACACACGTTAACAGCCAGACATCCATCCATGTATATCAGTTGTAAACACACTAATACTTCCATCCATGTATATCAGTTGTAAACACACCTTAACAACCAGACTTCCAATCATGTATGTCAGTTGTAAACACACTCTAAGAGCAAGACTTACAGCCATGTACATCAGTTGTAAACACACCTTAACAGTCAGATTTCCATCTACGTACGTGAGTTAAAGTAACTTGCTGTACGTCAGTTATAACACATACTAAATCACGTCTATCTGTAACAGTTGTACTACATATTGACATTGAGACTTCCATCATTTGTAACAGAAACTGCTAGTGGTTTGGTATGTTTCAGATAATCACCGAAAAGATACACAAAGAACTAGTTGCGCTATGTCCCTAATTCTGAATTGACGGGCTAGAGGGAAGGCAGCCAGTCAATAGCATCAACCTTTGGTTACTCTAGTCAAATAGTGGGATTTAACCGTTACTCTTACAATGCACTCACAGCCCTAACATGCAGTGCGCCATTTGGCAGAATGAGGCGTTAACTATGTATCTTCGGACTTATTGTCCAGCACGCTAACTATTACCCCCCCCCCCCCAAAAAAAAAGAAGTGGCTCTGCGGTAAATCTGAGGGCTCACACTGTTAAAAATCGGGTTTCGATACTCGTGGGGGACACAGCACAGAAGCCCATTGTGTAGCATTGTGCTTATTAACAAACAAAGCTAACCACTAAGCTCACGTTTGGCCCGACACTCACATCCCTGTACGCATGAACACACACACACAGTCACACTTTTGACTTTTACTCTCCACAGTGAATTTATATTTTACAAAATTTGAATAACGTGTAGCATCCTACTAACATATTATTCGCCTAAGTTAAATCTGATGAGGGTTGTTATTCCCCGAAATCGGTGAAACTCATTGACAAGAGGCGAACTGAATGACAGATTGGACTTCATCTTCATCTATATCTCTAATACTGAATATCAGCTATAATACAGTCTTATACATTGATCTATATAACCCGTAGTCACACAGTGACAGTGCGACTTCAACACATTAACATCAGTCGTAACACATTCTTTACAGACACACCTACGAGAGTTGTAGCATACTTTTACATTGGACTTCCCCCCCCCCCCAGATCACCTACCCACTACCACACGACCTAAATAGCTTGTGAGCAAAATACAAATGAAAATATCTTTAACGTGTTTACAAAGCGCCACATAAACCAATTTATGAGTATTGCTATTCGAAAAAATCT